CCCATAGGCTTTTCAACGTTTTCATCAAATGCCATCAAAAGAACCTCGCGCGCGCGCCGAAATCGTTCGATCGCCTGCGCGCGCGTTCTGCCGCGAGAATTTCTCGCGACAGATGGGGCGCAGCGCGCGCCAACGCGCCGTCGCGCGCGCGCCGAACTTCGCGCTTCTTCGGGGGATTTCAATAAAGAGCGCCCCGGAAACATATCAAGACATCTGGCTTGCAATATGCGTTTCCAATGCATTCTTGCGCTTGCTGACTTGCGAATTCGTCAGAAAACCAATGGCTTTCTCGCGCGTCCATCAAATTCTTCCAAACGGGCCTCTCGCGCCGCGCCCGCGCTCGCGCTCCGCGGGGGGGGGCGGGGCCCGCGTCGCACAATGCCGGGCGCGCGGGCCGCCTGCGCGCGTCGGCCGCGCGCGCGCGGCGAACTCCTTCAAAAAACTTCATCGCCGACGCGAGGACGTCGTCATCGTTGCTGGCCGGCGCGTTCAACATTGGCGCCGCCGTCGGCCGTGCCATCGTCAACGTCGCCATCGACACCGCCAACGCCACTCTCTTACTCGCATCTACCGTCGTCGGGCGACGCCATGGTGCCGCGCCCGCCCAAGTCGCCCACTCGCACTGAAGTGCTCGCTGGGGCGCGCCCAGAGGTCAGCGCCACCGCGGCCGCGTCGGCCGGGCCACACTAGCCGGCCGCTGCGCGCTGCGCGCGCGCGGGCTGGCGCGGCCGCGGAGATGCGCCGGCCAGCGCCAAGAATTCGTCGCAATCGCCGCCGCGTGGGTTTAGCAAGCCAAGTTGCAGGCGGGTGGGCTGGGCGTCTGCAAGAGCATGGAATGCGTCAACTCTTTTTTTTTTTTTCAAAACAAAATATATATCTATATAAAAAAGAAGAAGAACCAAACAAAAAAAAACAAAAAACGCATAGATCGCCCCACATAGACTGGGCCACGTACATACCCCCTGCCAAACGGAAAGAATCCCACCTCCGCACCGAGGGCAGACTTAGCAGTTGATCCGGGGAATGCGCAGTTTACATTTGATGGTGCCACATCGCCCCAGCGGTCGGCACCACCGCGGCCGCGCTGCCAAACTCGCCGGCCGTTGCGCGCGCGAGCATGCGCGGGCTGGCGCGGCCGCGGAGATGCACCAACCAACGCAAAGCACTCATCGCAATCGCCGCAGCACGTTGCAAGCCAAGTTGCGGGTGGGTGGGTGGTTTTTTTGCAAGGACATGGATTGTGTCAATTTGTGTGTAAAAATCAAAGGCACCATACATATATATATATATATATACATATATATATATATATATATGTATATATATATATACATTGCCTCGCGTCGATTGCGAAGCAAATGTTGCACCACGCACGTAGCACCACTGAGTGGGAATCCCGCAGAGTACACAGCGTACATCCATTGCAAAACATAGATTATCCCCGCTTAAAGAGCGCCCAGATCGATCTTCGCCCCCACCCCCCACCCCCCTCCGGACTTAACGGCCCGTTTTGCCGTAGTGCAAATTGCTGTCAATCCGAAATATCAGTTCGTATTATCTCAAGCAGGCAGGCATCGGTTCTTCCCGTCAGTCTCTGCAAAAAAATCGCCTACGTGCGCGCGTCGTCGCGCGCGCATGCTAAAATCCGCCATCACCAAGTGATTTTGCAACGATTCCAAAACCGAGCGCCCCGAAAACATTGAGAAACATAGTTTTGCCCCTTCCAACAAATTGGACGAAGTGCGCGCGCGCGTCGCCACGCGCATTCCGCATGGGTCACAATAGCGAGTGCCCCCGAAAACATGCGAAACACATGGTTTTGCAACATCTGTTTGTTCAAAGGTTTCCAGCGCTCGCGCTCCTGCAAATAGGTTTTCAATACTATGTTCATTATATTCGGCCACGCGGGCCCCTTGCGCCGTGCGTCGGATTCATTCGAACGCCTTTGCGCGCGCGCGCCAGGGCGGGGCGGGATCCGCGTCAGATAAGTCTATGCGGGCCACTCTTGCGCGTTGGCCGCGCGCGCATGTCGATTTCCTTCCAAAACATTCATTGACAACGCGAGGGCGCCGTCCTCGTCTTCGGCGCGATCAGCATCGGCACCGTCGCTGACCCTGCTGTCGTCTCACCATTGCCGCAGGCGTCGCCGCCGTCGCCCTCGCGCCCACCGCCGCCGACGTTGCCGTGATACCGCGCCAGACCAAGGCCCCGACTCGCACTGATGTTGCCGCTTGAAAGCGCCGGGGGGTCAGCGCCTCCGCGGCCGCGTCGGCAGCGCCAGACCCGCCGGCCGCCGCGCGCGCGAGCGCGCGCGGGCCAGCGCGGCCGCGGAGATGCGCCAGCCAATTCCAAGCACTCGTCGCAATTGCCGCCGCGCGGGTCCTGCAAACCAGCTCGCGGGCGGGCTGGCGGAAAGATTGCGCGATCAGTGGAGTGGGCAACCCACTCCGAACAGAAAGTAATTCTTGTTTCTAATAAAGAGCTAGGATCTACCCCGCGTCCCGCGTCCCACCTCCTTCATCCTTCCTCCTCCCCCCCCTCCTCCCCACCCCCCCTCCCAGTGCAGCGTTTCGTAGCCCCATAGGGAGCTCCACCGAAGGCCCCAGTGGGGGTGCCCGCATGCGGTTCCCCCACCCAGGGCAGCGTTTCGTGGCCCCATAGGGAGCTCCACCGCAGGCCCCAGTGGGGGTGCCCGCAAGCGGTTCCCCCACCCAGGGCAGCGTTTCGTGGCCCCATAAGGAGCTGCACTGTAGGTCCCAGTGGGGGTGCCCGCATGCGGTTCCCCCACCCAGGGCAGCGCTTCGGGGCCCCATAGGGAGCTCCACCGTAGGCACCAGTGGGGGTGCCCGCATGCGGTTCCCCCACCCAGCGCAGCGTTTCGTGGCCCCATAGGGAGCTCCACCGCAGGCCCCTGTGGGGGTGCCCGCAAGCGGTTCCCCCACTCAGGGCAGCGCTTCGTGGCCCCATAGGGAGCTCCATTGTAGGCCCCAGTGCGGGTGCCCGCATGCGGTTTCCCCACCCAGAGCAGCGTTTCGTAACCCCATAGGGAGCTCCACCGAATTCCCCAGTGGGGGTGCCCGCATGCGGTTCCCCCACCCAGGGCAGCGTTTCGTGGCCCCATAGGGAGCTCCATTGTAGGCCCCAGTGCGGGTGCCCGCATGCGGTTCCCCCACCCAGGGCAGCGTTTCGTAGCCCCATAGGGAGCTCCACCGCAGGCCCCAGTGGGGGTGCCCGCAAGCGGTTCCCCCACTCAGGGCAGCGTTTCGTGGCCCCATAGGGAGCTCCACCGAAGGCCCCAGTGGGGGTGCCCGCGTGCGGTTCCCCGCCCGGGGCAGCGCTTCGTGGCCCCACAGGGAGCTCCACCGAAGGCCCCAGTGGGGGTGCTCGCATGCGGTTCCCCCACCCAGGACAGCGTTTCGTGGTTCCACAGGGAGCTTTACCGTAGGCCCCAGTGGGGGTGCCCGCATGCGGTTCCCTCACCCAGGGCAGCGTTTCGGGGCCCCATAGGGAGCTCCACCGCAGGCCCCAGTGGGGGTGCCCGCGTGCGGTTCCCCACCACCACTGTGGCAGGCCCCTCACACAGTTCGTGGCCCCATAAGGAGCTCCACCGAGGACGGTATTCACAACTGCTGTACTCACAACTGCATATGGTTGGGTCCGTCGCCAGGCTAATTGTTCAAACATCTGGATGCCAAATATCTGACGAAGTGCACGCGCGCGTTGTTGCGCGCGCGTCCCGAAATCTCTAAGAAACCTGAAGCGTCTTAGGATTTCAAACTCCAGAGTAACAAAAACATGTAAGAACACATGGTTCCGCAACAGTGGTTGTCAACAAAAAAAGCATGCGCCCGCGCTCCCGCGATTTGTTTAAGAAAACCATAGGCTGTCAACATGTCCATGGCATGTTTCCGAACGGGCCTCCCGCTCGCGCGTGCCGAAGTCGTTCGAACGCCCTTGCGCGCGTGCTGTCGCATGATTCCCTTGCAACATATGGGACGAAGTGCACAGGCGCACGTCGTCGCGCGCGCATGCGGAAACATTTCACCCCCCAATCAAAAAAACGGTTTCGTAACGAGTTCAAAAGGAGTGTCCCGAAGACATATCAAAACACATGGTTTTGCAACAGAAGTTTTCAAAATGATCCTGCACGCGCGGTCTTGCGGATTCTTGAAAAAAAGACCATCGGTTCTCCAATATGTTCACCAAATTCTGCCAAATGGGACTCTCGCGCCGCATGTCATTCGAACGCCCTTGCGCGCGAAGTAGGCGGGGCACGATCCGTGTCACTTGCGCGCGTTCATCGTCGACGCGAGGACATCGTCATCGTTATCGGCGGGTGTCATCAACATCGGCGCCGTCATTGGCCTTGCCGTCGTCATCGCCACCATCGTCACCAGCATCGGTACCATCACCATCGCGTCTACCATTGTCGGCATCGCCATTATACCGCGCCCGCCCAATTCACCGATTCACACTGCAGTACCCGGTGGGACGCGCCCAGCACTCAGCGCCACCGCGGCCGCGTCGGTCGCGCCAAACTAGCTGGCCGGCGCGCGCGCACGAGCATGCTCGGGCTGGCACGGCCACAGAGATGCACCAGCCAACGCCAAGCACACATCGCAATCGCCGCCGCATGCGCTATGTAAACCTAGTTGCGGGTGGGTGGGCGGGATGTTTGCAAGGGCGTGGAATTTGTCAAATCATTTGCAAAACTCAATAGCACCACATGGATTGTTCCGCCTAGATTGCACAACGCATCTCGCCAGACACGCACTGGCTGGGTTTCATGCTGGCTAAGTTTGAGCGTGGCACTCAGTATGATGCTACTTGCGGTGGCCGCCTTTGCGGACAGCTTCTGAGCTTCATCTGCGTCGCAATCAAAAAATTCGCTCCGCGACGACTGCGACGGCGACGGCGGCAGTTTTGGTGGCGCCGGCGGCGGCTGCGGAGGCGTCAGCGGCGAGCGGGGCCTGGCCGAGCGGGCGCCCTCCGGTGCCGAGGTATGGTACTGGAGCGGCACAGCCTCCAAGTGGGTGCGCCGCGAGGGGCGAGAGGTTGGAGCCAGACATGCCTTGCGCGGTGGAAAAATGAAGATGGAAGTTGTTCTTGCTACCGTTTTCGGCACTCTGCGGTTGGGTTCCTCAACGCTCGCGTGAATTACATGGGCGTTCTCCGCCGCCGCGGGGAGGGCCTCTGGCGGCCCTCTATGGCCTGGAACGGGTCCTGGACCCTGGGGCCTTCTCCCAGGATCTTCCTCCCGTGGAGGGCCCCGAGGAGGGCCCCGAGGAGGGCCCCGAGGGCCCGAGAACGGCGAAAGGATTCCGGACCCGTTTCCCTCAGGACCCGTTTTCCCCATGGTGAGGGGAAAGCGGCAACACCTTTTGGTTTCGCGGCCAGTGGATCCAGCGCAGCGAGGGCGTGCCGATGGGAGGTCAGGCCGACGAGCGGTTGACGGGTGCGGGTAGTAAATGCCGAAGGCCATGCACGCGGGAGAAACGACAGTACGCATAGAGAGGGCAGAGGCGGGGCGCGCAGGGGAGGCGACACACACACACACACATACATACATACATACATACATACATACATACACACATACACATACACACATACACACATACACATACGCATACACACAGACACACACTTCAGCAGCCTCGCGCACATCGACGAGGCGGGGTAAGTCACAACACAAAAATTATCTCAGTGCGACCCTGCCCAGGAGTTGGAGCCCCTAGGAAAGCAGCATTATTAGTAACAGTATAGCTAAGCTAAAGCTAAGCTACAGCTAAGCTACAGCTAAGCTAAAGCTAAGCTAAAGCTAAGGCTGAAGCTAAAGCTCCCAGGGGACTGGGGGAACCGCTCCCAGGGGATCCTGGGGGAACCGCCCGGGGCGGGGAGCACTGCCCGGCCCTTTAAGCATACAGGGTAAGAACCCTTCTAGGCAGAGCCTAGGTAGGGAACCAGCCAAAATGCAAAAGCCTGTGTTGATCAGCAGTGGGCATGCGAGGTGGCCCGCGGAGGCCCGCGGTGGGCGGCAGGTCAAGGCCCAGGTGAAGGGCCTCAACGTCGCAACCAACGGGAGCGTAGTGTCCTACAACCTGAACATGAAGGAGAAGGTTGATTTCTCGAGGACACGGGTGGAACGGCATTGCAAGGGTCCTCCTGGCATCGCTCGGACGTGTGCATTTTTTCTCGGCGAGAGCCATTGAGGACGATCCAGGACCATCGAGCAAAAAAAACACGCACGGGAAATGAACGTCAGAGCGACTGCGAGGGGCAAGGTGCGCATCTGTGGATTGATTGGTCCTGTTGTTGTCATGATGTCGCATACGCAACGTACCTACAAGACCACCCTTCGAGTGAGAAGGATGCTGTGGGAGGAACTGGTGCAGCTTGCAGGTGCATGTGCGGGGTGTGCCGCATCGAGAGCGGGCACGCCATGCGGACCCTGCCGGTAGGGCCTTCGGTGGAGCACCGCATAGGATGTGCCGAATCGAGTCCGGATACGCCACGCGGACGGTGCCGTTGGGACTTTCGATGGGGCTCCTTGTGGAGCCACGAAGCATGTGAGGGGTGTGCCGAATCTTGTGCCGGTACGCCATGCTGACCCTGCCGGTAGGGCCTTCGGTGGAGCACCCCATATGGATGTGCTGAATCGGGTCCGGGTATGTCATGTGGACGGTGTCGTTGGGAATTTCGGTGGGGCTCCTTGTGGGGCCACGAAACATGTGAGGGGTGTGCCGAATCGGGTGCTGGTACGCCATGTGGACTCTGCCGCTGGGGCCGTCGGTGGAGCTCCCTATGGTGCCACAATGCAAGGGGGGGCCGAGTCGGTGCGCTTACACCATGCGGACCTACCGTTGGGGTACGGCATGCCGATCCTACCTGTGGGGCCTTCGGTGGAACTTCCAAGGAACCACGAAGCGTGAGAGGGGTGTGCGATGGTGGTAATGAGGACATGCGGCGGATAGGGGCAGGGACGGGAAGAGGAGGGAGGGGAGGAGGATGAGGAGACGAACAAGAGGACGGGGGGCGCTGGCATTTAAAAAACGAGGATTCATCGCCACAGGACGGTTGGAGAAATCACAGAGCAAGAAATAGCTTGAGGTATGTGGAAGCCGACTGACATTTGAGCACGGATTGATTGCAGCTCTCAGAGGGTTGAAGCGATTTGTAATCCCAGGACCTTAAACGCTCTGAAACGAAGCCAATGAAAAAAACAGCGGGTTTGAATATCCGGGAGCGCAATCTTATTGAAGATTGAAGTTCGGACGATTGTTGTGTTGGACCTTTGGCTTGAGGCGAGTGCCAGAGCCTGCATGAGTGCCATAGGCTGAAGCCCAGGCCAAAACAGCGTGGCTAGAACGTATGCAGCAGATATCTCGTGTTCCACAGAGGAGCCACGAAGGGCACAAGAACGGTTAGGGTGGAGGGACAGGTCTCAAGTGGTGTAACACTGACTGGTGGAACAGAAGCTCGCCAAAAGGGGCCTCGAAGAAGGCAGGAGGGAGATAGCAAAAATGTCCGCAATGGTGTCAGCATGCGTCGCCACCCTCTCTTCCCCGTCCTCCCCGCCTCCCTTTTCGTCGCCTCCTCGGGATGACGAGTTGGAGAGCCCCCCGGGCTCCAGAGGGGACGGGACGTGGGTGACAGGACCGACCGAAACATTGGCCAGAGACGCGACAGGTACAGTTCGAGAGCCCGACGGGTGTTGGAGGAGTTCGAGCGGGCTTGCATCAGACATAAAAGCTGTTAAATAGGGTAGACGAGTACTAGACGGGTACACGGAGGGCTGGAAGAGTATTGGACGAGAACCCCCACGGTCTTGGACGAGGAGATGGCCATATCGTGTCCATCCTTGCTTGCCACTTTCGGAACCTGTACCGGCTATGGAACGATTGACGTTTCGCGTATCCCCGCCACCCAATCCACAACCGATGCCCCTTCGAGTTGTCTTAGGAGCTTCGTGGAGGCCTTCGGAGAGTACCCTTGGATGTTCTGTAGGTTTTGGCCGACGGAGGGCTTCATGTCCTGATGGATGTCGTTCTGGCACAGGTCCAGTTGCATCCGGAACTTTCTTCGGCTACCTTTGACAACCTTGGGATGCCATCGTCGAGCACCGGAGGCCTCCTTGGAGCCGGCAGGGGCCCGAAAAGGCCGTCTGCCACATCGCGCCCCCCCCTCGCCGATCCCAGAGGCGGGGTTGAAGGTGTGAACCCCCCCGGAACAGGAGAAGAGGGGGATGTGAAGAGGAAAGAGATGACTTTCGGCACCACCTCGGCCAAGAGGGCTCAGGGCTCAAGAGACGGGGTCAATGCAAACGGCGGGGGTCAGTCAGAGCGCCGGATCTTGCAGGATCCTGTAGAGCCAGGGGTGCATTGACCCGGGCTTCGGTGCAGGATCCTGCAGGACCTGGCAGGATCTCGCAAGGCCTGACTGACCCGGGTTTGGATTGATCCCGGCTTGAAGATTCCCGAAGGATTGGCGGAATTTCAGGTGAATACAAGGGCTAATTTCGTAGATCACCGACGTGCGGTGCGAACATGAAGGTTACAGGAAGGATTCGGTGATGTACTCGGAAGGCAGGACGAGCGCCTCTGGGACTCGAGTGGTTGAGTTGTTGAGCATGGCCAGACCAGAATATCTGTCTACGGGCTAGCAGGGGCCAACGTTTGAGGCGAAAGCCCTGAAGGTCACTGGGAGCATTGGGGGGTGAGGGTCTTGGGGTTTGGCCCGGGTGAGTGCCAGCGACGTGACAGGGGCTCGACTTCGGAACGCGCGAGCCCGAATTGTGCTGGAGTGGATCCGGGGAAGGGGCAGGGTTGAAATTATCAAGCCAATGCAAATCCGCAGTGGACTGCAAAGGCCTTACGGCCAATTCTGCACATCCTCAGGAATGAGCAGCTTGGACGCAAGAGGAGGAATGGGGACGGGTAGTGTCAGGGCAAACATCGAATGGTCCTTATCCCATGCGGCCAATGGGCTTGGAACAAGATCAGAGGCCTTGGGAGCTTTGTGGGGGATTTTGAGGGGAATCTTGGGGACTCCTGGGAGCCTTCATTGGGACCACTTGGGTGCTTCTTGGGGCCCCGTTCCGGCTTCTTGTGCGCGACAGTGGACACAAAGGCGCCATGGTTCCGTCTGCTGCTCCTGCTTCCGCAGATTGGAGTTGGACCTACAGCCCCTGGGTTCGCACTGGCGCCAAGGGCAAACGCTACCCGCACCGCTCCGGAGGCCCCATGTGGAAATATCTCTCCTGCGGATGCGCGAAGAATCCAGGATCCTTCCAGTGGTGCAAGCACTGTGGGGGGTGGAAGCCAAAGGACATCACTCACGCGTTGGACAACGGGAGAGCGGTCGATCCGAGTTCTAAGTGGGCCAAGGGCCCCCCCGCCAGTTTCCCTGAGTTTGACGCTTCTCAGCTCGAGCACTCAGAGTTGGTGGCGATGTTGGCTTCATCCACCAAGCGTGGGCAGACACATCTTGCCCATGCGTGCCAGAAGAAGCTGGACGAGCTCGACAAGGGCCCTCCTCTTCAGCCGCCGCGCGAGACCCGTCTCTCAAAGGCACGTTGGGCCCTCAACAACCAAGATGGCAAGCTCAAGCGGGCCTTGGACAAGCACCACAAGCGGCAACAAGACCTGGAACAGCACTGGGAGCACGTTGTCTCTCTCAAGTCCCACCTGGACGTGCTACAGGCCGAATGCGACAAGCTGGCGGCCTCGGTTCGCTCGGCTACCCCAGCACCTGGACCCAAGCCCACGGTCTCCCTCCCGGCGCTTTTGGAAGATAAGCTCGACGGTTTCGCCATCGATTTCGGCGACGTCTTCTCCATGGGCGGCGAGGAGGTGGGCGACGACGAACTACGGCAAGCAGAAGAACGACGGGAGGCCCTCGTCAAGGGCCCCCAGGAGGGCGCCAAGAAGCTCTTCGCTGATGCGGCCACCGAGGCCAAAGAGGCCCGATCCGCCCACCAACAGCAGATGGATCGACTTGCCTCCAGGCGTCGCCGCGCCGAGGACAGCAATGGCGACGCCCAGGCCACTCCAGGAGGAGCGGCAGCGTCGGGGGCCGCTGCGACCCCAGCGGCCGAGGGGGCGCCGACTCCGCCCTCGGCGCCCCAGGAACCCTCGACATCGGCAGTTTTCGAGAAGGAGCTCGCCCGCAGGCAGCAGCAGATGGGCTCAAGCCCCTGACCGTGCCCCTGGTGAATCCAGAACTGGCGCTGGGAGCTCCGCAACTGCAACTTACAAGAGTAAGCAGCATCCAGAGCAATCTCGGACGGATAAGACGCGGCATCTCTGCTTTCGCAATCTTTCGACCCGGGGCCCTGCGGCCAAGGGCCTCATTGATGAGCGACAATATGACGGCATCCTCTTAGTGGAGACTCGTGCTGGTTAGGAGCACTCGGATGACCTTCTTCGGCACTGGAGCAAGAATGGTTATATGGCGATCTGCACATCCGCCAGGCCGACTGAACGTACCAAGCTGTCCCAAGGCGCGGCTGCGAGCATGAGGAACACCTTCGCCACCTCCTCTGCCAGGCACCTTGCCATGAACAAGGCACAGCAGATCGGCATGAGAGACCTCACCTCCACCAAGGGAAACGTCGCCTTCCACGAATTTGTTCCCGTCGTATGGCATATCAACGGCACCTCGATATGCATTGTGGCGGCTTATCTCACTTGCTCCATTGGCATTCGAGGCATCAATCTTCAGAAGCTCGCGATTCTTGGCTGTTTCAAGAGCTAGGACATCCCGTGGGCCATCTTTGCTGATTGGAACGTTCCACCGTCGACCCTGATGCAGTCAGGGTGGCCCACTTTGATTTGGGGGGGGGGGGGGGGGGGGCAGTAGTCCCGACGGACGTGGAACACACGTGCACCATCGGCTCAGGATCCATGTTGGACTACGGCATTGTCTCACCGCATGCGCGGCTCCTGGTATCTAGCCTCACAGCAGACACATCAGTGGCTGTGGCCCGCAATGCAGTAGCTGGCAAAGCGCGCCATGGACTCAAGATTGACTTCCGAGTTCGAGCTGAGTTGGCAACGCATCAGCCCCTTCCTGGGAGAAAGGCAGACCCTACTAGCAAACGATTGCGCACGGCAGCCACTGCGGCAGAAGCGG